TGATTTTGCCGCACACGCCCGACGCCGCTGCCGCCCGCGCACTGCCTTGGCCTAGTTTCTGCCTTGCCCATGTCAACCTTCATTTCCCTCATGCCATTGCTTGTATTTTCCTTCACATAGCCTTGCCTTAGCTATTGAAAGCCTTTTCCATCATCCCGCATTTTCTCTTTGCCTTAGCTTAGCCCGCACTTAGCTGCCACAACCCAAAATGCCGTGCCACTGATCTTGGTGCGCATGCCATGCCATGCCGCCCCAACACTGCCCATGCTGCCTTGTCAAGCCTTTGCCAAGCGCGCCTTGCCTGTCCCAAGGCCTTGGCCAATTCTTGCCCACAACAGCCCTCAATGACAATGTCTTGTCTGTCGCCCGCATGATCGTTTTGCCCGCACATAGGCCAATGACAAGGCCATCACGCCCCAATCCTTGCCACAGTCGTGCCCACGTCCGTTGACAAAGAGTCAGGTCCTAACAAACCACCCGCACCCTTTGAAATCGACGTCCTCGTCGAGCCAACTCAATTAATCAACCCCAAGGGGTTGTTGACGTAAAATGCCGCCCCTGGTACTCCATTCACATCTGCCATTATAGCGTTTTCCTCCGCCACTTGTTCCTGTTTTTCCGCAGCTAGAATTGCATTCACCCTAGCCTGCACCAGACAGTCCTTCTTTAAGTGCGGTCCACCACAAGTAAAGCAGCCTTTGAATTTGCCGCTCCTTTCCTTGCCGTTGTGAATTTCCTGTCTCACATTCTTGACCAGTCCCTCATCTTCGGCAGCTTGGCCCTTCCCGCTTTTCTTCCATTCCCTTGCCTTGGCTTTCCTTCCGTCGGATTTTGAATGCAAAGTTTCAGCAGGGTCATCACCTATGTTTAGGTCCGCCAACGCATCCGCCGCTGCAATGGCAGTAGAGAGGCTTTGAACATTCTGCCTTCTCAACTCCAATTGCGCCCAGCCCTTCAATCCACTCATAAAGTAATGCAGCTTGTCTTCCTCTGCCATATTACTTACATTCAGCATCAAGGACAAGAATTCCTTGACATAGTCCCTCACCGTGCCACTTTGTTTCAAGCGACGCAGTCCATCTCTTGCAACCCACGATGAGTTTGTCGGAAGGAATTGAGATTTTAACTCCTT